CGGGGGAGATGAATATTCCACAATCCGAGCTGGAGGGAGCCATGGGCTCCTGCTTGATTTCCCAGCCACCGGCCGCTGCGATGGGCTCGCCTCACCACTGACTGTGCAGATTACGTCGAGCCGCAGAACAGGTCAGATGACTCTCACCACCTATGCCCATCCGCCCAGAATGTATTGCTCACCCTAAATGGTTGGAAGTCAAATGACGTGAAGCCTAAACGCAGAGATGAACGCACACAATTTCAGATAAGAGTCTGATACCTGTTGTCCTGGTGGGTGCACGCGAGCCTGACTCAGAACACCTTGTGTTTCGGGTGTGCCTGCCTGTCTGAAGCCGCCCCCTTTCCAGCATCGGGCCCCGGGGCGAGCTGCCTCTGGCCGGGTAGGACCCTGCTAAAATCGCACGGAGTCTCAGCTTGCTCGTGTGGGATGGGTGGCAAGAATCCCTGATTCTTCCTACCTTACGGGGTCCTGAGGGGCTGGAAGGAGACCGTGACTGAGTCCCCATGTGATGCTGAAGGGGTGGGGATGTGGGAGAGATGGTTTCTATGGTGCTTCTCGTGGATCTGAGCTTGTAAACTGTGAAACGCGGGAGCGACGTTGCAGTTTCGGCGGTGGCCACACGCTGTCCCGGGCAGGGCCGGTCGGATGGTGTTCCTGGACGGGTCTTCCCCAAAATGCTGTCCTGTGGCTGTTACTGTGCTCATTGGATAGGAAATGAGAACGAATTCGGGTGCCCGAAGGCCCACAATCTGATCGGAAATCAACACAAGCAGGACATAACCTCTGGAATCCTCCCTGGTCTAACGGCTTCGAATGGAGTTTTGCAGATGGAATCATCCATTTTGGGTTTACTCCAGTCCTTGGATTAGTCTGGTACAAGAAAGAAACATCAGGGGCGCCTGGGTGACTCAGTCAGTTAAGCGTCTGACTTCGGCTCAGGTCATGATCTCACGGTCCGTGAGTTCGAGCCCTACGTCGGGCTCTGTGCTGACAGCTCAGAGCCCGGAGCCTGCTTCGGATTCTGTCTCTCCCCCTGTCTCTCTGACCCTCCCCTGCTCATGCTCTGCCTCTGTCTCAAAAATAAATAAACATTAAAAAAAAATTAAAAAAAGAAAGAAAGAAACATCAATCTTGGTGTCGAGGACCTGGGATCGAATCCTAGTTTTTCCACCGAGGTGGGGGGGTGGGATGGTTGTCATGACTTTGGGCGATTTTCTTTTCTCAGTCTGTTTTTTCTCTCTCTCTCTCTTTTTTTTTTCATCTCTGAAAGGGATGCTCGCGCTTAACCTTCACGCAGTTAATTGTCAAGGGGAGTAACAAATGTGAAATCGTCCAGGCCGTAAGAGTTGCCAACTAATTATTTTTAGCTTCTTCTTTCACTCGCTCGCTCGCTCGCTCGCTCACTCACTCATCCATTAGATGGGCTTCTGGTCTGCAAGATGGGTTAAAACCATAGTATTGTAGCCGAGCCGAAATGTAGGCTTCGCCACCTGCCCGCGGTGAAACGGCGGCAATTCAATCAGCCCTTGTCAGGCTCGCTTTCCCCTCCGTGACAAAAACTCGCCCTTTGTACCTGCCCCGCGTGCCTTAACTCACTAGATCTTTGCAGTAGTCTTCAGCGTTGGCGTGTTATTATTCCCTTACTACAGATGAGACAACTGAGGCACGGGGAGGCTACAAACTTGGCCAGTGGTACATGCCTCGTGAGTGCTGGAACTGGGAGCTGGTCCCGTGAAGCGGGACCGCAACTCACGAGGCTGTATTGCTACTTTCCCTCCTGGAGGGACCTTGAAGACGGAACGGGTTTAAAGTACACGCAGAAGTGTGGTTGGCACAGAACCAGCGTTCTGTAAATGTAAACGTCAGTTTGCCATGTAGTGGGAAAGACCGCTGATCACAGAAACAGGTCCCGGGGCTGGGTTCCCTGGGTCCCACCTCCGCTCCATCACCGAGACCTCCAAAATCTCAGATAAGAGTCTCATTTTCCTGAGCAGCAAAAGAAGGGTGAAAATAACATTCCGCTGCACGCTGGTGCGAGGCAAAGTGTCAGAACAGGAACTGAATCATTTTACGCCCATTACGAGCATTGGCTTTTGTTATGAAACCTCTTGCCGCTTCCTTCCCGTGTCCTAGTTATGAGCACACGCATTCCAGATCTTCGGCTGGACTGCGGGATCCGGGAGGATAGGGGAGATGTTTTATTCACCACCGCCTCACTGCAGCCCCCAGCCTGACAGTCAGCACAGAGTCGGGCCGGGGTGTTCCTTAGAAACAGGTCGATTCGAATATGTGCGTGGCCCGGGATGCTTCGGGTCGCGTTATCTCTTCGTGGGACGAGAAGGTCAGAGGACCTATGCGTTAATAAAACCCCTTCTAAGCAGTTTGCTCACACAACGGGCTCCCGGGCAACAGATAAATGCCAAGCTGCCGGGTGTGAGCAGGCAAGGGGGCACGGTGGGGAAGCCTGGGACCTGGTGCCCTTTAATATCTTTTTTAGCTCTGACACTGAAGCACCTGTAACTCGTCTCTCCATTCATACAGTCACCCACGCTTGGGTGTGTCCATTTCTCTTGATTTCTGAGAGAGAGAGAGAGAGAGAGAGAGAGGGAGAGAGGCAAAGCTGCACGTTTGATTACTCCTTCCTTCCTTCCTCTCCAAAAGCAGAGAACCTCAGTCACATGGGCACAGAGCACGCGGCCTTTGCCTCCAGGAGAGACCAGGCTGCTTGCCTTCCGACCCCCAGAGATCTCTCAAAAGCAGCCCTGCCTTTGTGCACACCCACTGCCCAAGTCCGCCCCCACGAGCGGCACTTTCTCTGCCTGCCTCATTGCCGGCAGCGTGGACTCTTGTAACCCACCCTCCACCCTGTGGGCAGAGCCCCCTTTCCAGCTGCGACCGGTTCTCTTTCCCGCGTGACATGCTTCAGCGGTTGCTGCCTGCTGCATGCCAGGCCTTGGAAAGGAAGCACCGGGCACACGACTGTGACCCTTTCCACCAGACGCCTGCGGGGCTTGGCGTGTGGGCCCGGGGGCCCCTGGCAGAGGCGAGGTGCAACCGCAAGGTGCCCGGGCACTGCCCCGTGAGCCGGAAGCTGGTGGGGAGGAAAGCCCTGACTCTGCTGGGCACGTGCTGGGACAGCACGGGCGCACGGTCACCCAGGAAGATCGTCTCCTGCTGAGTTGTGGCATCTGGGTCCCCATTGTCCCGAGAGCTCCCTGAGGGCAGAGGCTTTGTCTTCTCTTACTCTGCACCCCCAGGGTATGGTGGGCGTTCAATGAATATCGATGTAGGCAGAGGACTGCAGGACTGAGCGGACGACGGCCACTTGCCCTTTCACATATCTGTCCCGTGCATGCAGCTGCCCTCCCTTTCTGGCTCGCGCCTCCCCTGCTCAGAGACCGACTGAGCCCCCTTCTTCTCCCCTGGCCCAGGACGCACCCGTTCGGAGTCAGACACAGGGACTCAGAGGGGGAGCACCTGTAGGTGAACACAGAGGTCTGCAAATGCCACCGTTGAAACATGAGATGCCTGGACACCCTGTCCGATCTGCCTCTCAAGAAGACGTGAGTTAGAGACTTCCAGGAAGCGGCAGATGTGTGCGTGCATGTGCGAAGGTGATGTATGCAGCGTGTGTGTGTGTGTGGGGGGTGCGATGTGTGTCTGTGTGTGCATGTGATGTGTGGTGTGGGTGCCTACATAGTATATGGTGTGGTGTGTGTGTGTGTGTGCATGTGATTCAACATGGTTTAGTGGTGGTTATGTTATAGGCATTGGATTAAGGCTGTCGGTTCTAACTACCCACACTGTCGTTTATTGTTATGGCGTCACCTGGCCTCCAGGATCCTCAGTTTTCTTATCAATAAAACGGTCATAAATGGCCCCTCCGAAGGTTGCTTTGAGGACCAGCGATGCTGCATTTAAAGCACCTGGCATCTAGGGTTTGGATAAATTCCGCCTCCGAGCTTTCTTGCGGCCATGCTCTGGGGTCCATCCCTTCCCAGTGAAGGACACTGCAAGCATCAGGGTTGAGCCCATCAGCCAGCCCCTTTGAGCCAACACCAGGGCAGGCCAGAGCTAAGGGCTGCTGAGCCAGCAGTGTCCTCACAAAGATGCAGTGCCCATCTCGGTTTTTTCTTAACAGGCCTTGGGGAGGACCTGGCAGCATTTGGCCTTAATGGAAAGCCACAGTGGGTGGTTGAATCCACTTGTCTCCACTGGGTCCAGGGTCTGGAGTCATCTGGGCTAGCAGTGAGGCTTCTATAGCTGAAGGCACAAAGGAGCCCCCTCAGGCATCTGGGCGGCTCCTGATTAAACACACACTTCCCTCCAGGCCCTGCCTAGCATCCCCGGGAAGGATAATCGTCAAAATAGCCCACTTTCCACTGTGTGTCTATTATGTCCCAGATGGTGGAGTAGACAGTGGGTGCCCTAACACTGAATTCTCGCTGTTGTCGTTGGAGGCACTGGTTCTCAGGTGGGGTTGATTTCTGCCCCCTGTCCCTCCGGGGACATTTGTCGACATCTGGAGACGATTTGATGGACAAAACCCACGCAGTCATCTTTAATAGATGCAGAAAAAGCATCTGACAAAAGCCCAAACCCCTTCATTATCAAAACACTCAACACACTGGAAATAGAATTTTGTCATCTTACAAAAAAACCCAGAGCTAACATACTTAATGGTGAAAGATGAAAGTGACCAGAAACAAGACCAGAAACAAGACAAGGGTGTCTATTTGTACCATTTCTATTCAACATAGTATTGGAGGCTCTAGCAAGGATAATTAGGCGAAAAAAAAAAAAAAAAAAAAAGATTCAGATTGGAAAGAAAGATAGAAAACCATCTCTATTGGCAGATGACATGACTTGGAAATAAAAATCCTAATGAATCTACTAAAAAACTATAAGAAGTAATAAATGGCTTCAGGTTTGCCTAGTGTATGATTAATATAAAAGATTGATTGCACAGGTATCCCTCGCTTTTCAAAAGCTCACAGTACACCACTTTGCTTTCATGAAAGACCTACATTGGTACCGATTTTGGTAACGGAAAGAAAGCTCACGAGGATTTTCACTTTTATGAAAAAGCAGCAAGCCGCTATGGATATAAGCACTGTTCCCGGGAACTACACCAAGTACTTCTGCATCAAGCCCCAGAGCTTTGACCTGTGTCTGTATCGGTGCTTCATCTCCATTTACTTTGGGCATTCTTTAGCAACATGGGTCCTAAGCGATCAGAACAGCCCAGGAGGGTTGTTTTTGGGGTCTGGGGATGCTCCGAAGTTTTTCCATATAAATTAATGGTGACCGCTTCCTTGCTTTGCACCATTTTGGCTTACTGAAGGTTTTCATTGGAACACTCTGCTTGCAGATAGTGGGGGAAGCCTGTGTTTCTCTACACTAGCCACGAGCATTCCAGAAATGAAATTAGGAAAGCGATTCCATGTACGATAGCATCAAAAAGGATAAACTACCTAGGAATAAATTTGACAAAATCAGTACAAAACTTACACTCCGAGAACTACAAAATACTGTTGAAAGGAATCAAAGAAAACCTAAACATATGGGAAGAGAATCTACATTCAAGGATCAGAAGAGTTAATATTGTTAACATGGCAACGCACCTCAAATCAATCTATACATTCAACACAATCCCAGCTGACTTTGCTACAGACATTGACAAGCTGATGGTAAAATTGATATGGAAATTCAAGGGATCCAACACAGCCAAAACAAAATAGAAAAAAAAAGAACAAAGTTAGATAACTCACATTTCTCAATTTCAAAGGTTGCTGCTGTTGAAAGATAAACTGAAGCGCATTAAAATTTTCAAGAGTTTCTTTGAGCAAACATCAATTCCAATTGGGTGGGGCACCCCACAGAAAGTGGTTGGACAGGAGCTAGGGGAGGGTTTTTACAGAGAAGGCATGGAAGAGAGCAAGCAAGTTATGTGACTGGCAATAGCTTGAGCAGTTGCCGCATTTGGGAACGTCTAGTGGACTGAGATCAGTTGTTCTTTGGTTTCATTTTCTTGGACTTGAGTGTACTGGCTGTACCATAGGTTTTGGTTTGCACATCGGAGGCTCCCAAGTCATTTGAGACACCTCAGCCTACTGGGCTTGTCTAATTCCTCAACACTACAAACCTGTAGAATTTAAGACAAAGTGGTACTGGCACAAGGATAAACAAGGATAGAAGTGAGGGTCTACAGTTAAATCCTCACATTTTTGGTCAACGGATTGTCAACAAGCGTTCAAAGATGCTTTGGTGAGGAAAGAATTTTCTTTTCAATGAAAGATGCTGGGGCAAGTGGATGTCGACACGCAAAGGTAGGAAGTTGTATCCCATTGTTCACATCCTACATAAGAATTGTCTCAAAGTGGATGTTAGACTTAAATATAAGAGTTGGAACTCGAAAAGTCTTAGAATGAAATATAGGAGTCAATCTTCATGACCTTAGTTCAAGCAAAGCTTGCTTGCTTGCTTGCTTGCTTTCTCTTTCTCGCTCTCTCTTTCTCTCTCTCTCTTTCTCTCTCTCTGTCCCTTCCTTCCTTCTTTCTTTCCTTCCTTCCTTCCTTCCTTCCTTCCTTCCTTCCTTCCTTTTTTAAAATTTAAATCCAAGTTAGTTAATATATAGTATAATAATGATTTCAGGAGTAGAATTTAGTGATTCATCACGTACATTTGACACCCAGTGCTCATCCCCACAAATGCCCTCGTTAATGCCTATCACCCATTTAGCCCATCCCCCCACCCAACACCCTGCCAGCAACTCTCAGTTTGTTTTCTGTATTTAAGAATCTCTGATGGTTTGTCTTCCTCTCTGTTTTTCTATTATTTTTGCTTCCCTTCCCTTATGTTCATCTGTTTTGTATCTTAATGCCACATATGAGTGAAATCATATGATTATTTGTCTTTCTCTGACTTATTTTGCTTAGCATAATACACTCTAGTTCCATCCATGTTGTTGCAAATGGCAAGATTTCATTTCATTTCATATATATATAATGAAGTGCGTGTGTATTCCATATATATACGCACACACCATATTTTCTTTATCCATTCATCAGTCGATGGACATTTGGGCTCTTTCCATACTTTGGCTATTGTCAATAATGCTGCTATAACATTGGGGTGCATGTGCCCCTTTGAATCAGCACTCCTGTATCCTTTGGATAAATACCTAGTAGTGCAATTGTTGGGTCATAGGGTAGTTCTATTTCTAATTTTTTGAGGAACCTCCATACTGTTTTCCAGAGTGGCCGCACCAGTTTGCATTCCCACCAGCAGTGCAAAAGCGTTCCTCTTTCTCTGCATCCTCACCAACATCTGTTGCCTGAGTTGTTAATTTTAGCCATTCTGACAGGTGTGAGGTGGTATTTCATTATGGTTTTGATTTGTCTTTCTCCCATGATGAGTGATGTTGAGCATCTTTTCATGTATCTGTTAGTTATCTGGATATCTTCTTTGGAAAAGTGTCTATTCATGTCTTTTGCTCATTTCTTCACTGAATTATTTGGTTTTTTTTTGGGTGTTGAGTTTGATAAGTTGTTTACAGGTTTTGGATACTAACCCTTTATCTGGTATTTCATTTGAAAATATCCTCTCCCATTCTGTCAGTTGCCTTTTAGTTTTGCTGATTGTTTCCTTCACTGTGCAGAAGCTTTTTATCTTGATGAGGTCCCAGTAGTTCATTTTTTCTTTTGTTTCCCTAGGCAAAGCATTCTTAGATAGGAAACCAAAAGCACTTTGACTTCTTCAAAATTAAAAACTTTCGCGCTTGATGAAGGTCATTAAGAAAGTGAAGATAGCCTATGAGATGGGAGAACAGATCTGCAAATCATATATATCTTAGAAAGTACTTGCATCTAGAATATATCAAGAACTCTTACAAGTCGACAATAAAAAGACATCTCGCTTTTGGAAGTGGGAAAATCATCCAAACAGATTTTTCTCCAAAGGAGATATACAAAGGCCAAGGAGCACATGAAAAGACAGTCAACATCTTTCATCATGAGGGTAATATAAAGCAAACCTTCAACGGGATACTGCGTCATGTCCAGTTGGATTATTATGATAGAAAATACAGACAGTGACAGGTGTGGGCCAGGATAAGGAGAAATGGACGGGGTCACGCACAGCCGGTGCGCGCAGCCTCCGTGGAAAACGGTGTGGCAGTTCTGCAAAAGGTGAAACAGAGTCACACGTGACTCAGCGATTCCACTCCTGGATGTACACCCAGGAGAAAAGAAATTAATAGCCACACAAAGACTTGTTCTTGAGTGTTCCTAACAGCATTCTTCGTAATAGTCAAAATGTAAAAGTAACTGAAATGTCCATTGGCTGATGATGGATGCATAAAATGTGGGACGTCCGCGCCGTGGAATATTATCAGGACACGAAGAGGGATGAGGTGCTGACGCCCGCTACAACTGTGTGCATGGCGCGTGCACACAAGGAAGAATCACGAAGACATGACTCGGAGTGGAAGGAGCCAGTCACGACGGACCACGTATCATATGAGGCCATTTTTATGAAGTGTCCAGAATGGGCAAATAAATAGGGATAAAAGTAGATGATCAGTTCCCTGAGGTGGGGAGAGATGGGTGGGTGGGGGTGGAGTGGTAGCTAAAGCATACCAGTGCTTTTAAGGGTGGCAAAAAATGTTCTTAAAACTGATCGTGGTGATGACTGCACAGCTCCGAATACGTTAAAACCTGCTGCGTCGCATAATTTACCTGGGTGAAGTGTACGGTATGAAAATTATGTCTTGGTCAAGCTGCTAAAACTAAAACTCAGCCCCCTAGATTCTAAAGTGCGTCCTTGGTGCTGGCTGTGGGTGGCTTCTGGGAGCTGGTTTCCCCCGAGACTGTGGTGGGCATCTGGGGACAGGGGCTCTGGGTTAAGTTCAAGTATGGCAACGGCATCTCTGGGGTCCCCTCCTCGGGTGTCCTGTATCACTACATATCTGCCTCCTGAGTTCATTTGTGGTCAGATTCAGGTTTTTCCTGAGGGACTTGGGTTTTAGCACTTATTCTGTGCACACAGTGTGGTGTTCTGAACCCAATGCTGGGCTTTAGAACGGCACAAAATGGCGGCTACCCCGAGTTGGCTTTGAGTTCAGCTCAGCCATGTGGAAGCTCTGAGACACGGGCAAGGCCCTGACTTCCGTGGGTTCTGTGGGATTTGATCATCTTCCTCTGTACGTTCAGGACACCAAGGTGCAGTGTCGGCGAGTTTGAGAGGGTTCGGCAGGTGGGGCTTTAAAGCTGGAGCTCCACATCTGAGTCCGGAGTGAGTGGCTCGTGCCCTTCTCTTTATCCTTCCAGAAAATAGTGGAAAGGCTGGCGTGGATCTGGAGAGATCATTCTGAGCACTGAGGCAAGCTCACCCGCTCTTTTATAATAATGCTAATGATGACAACAACTGCCTCTTATCGAGGGCTTTTCTGTTTTCAAGAAGGTTGCAGATCTGACTTGCTCAGCGCTGGCTCAGCCCTTGCAAGGAGACTGGGACAAGGAGGCAGGAGGCGGCAGGAGGTTTCGGAGGACTTCGGGACAGCTGAGCCGGCCTGAGACGGCCCAAGTCCTTGGTGCTGGCTGGACCCGGCCCGGGCAGGGTTCCACGTCCTCACTTTGATCTCTGACCTCCCACTGGGTCCAGGCTGCTTCCCCATCTTCCTTGGCACGTCACTCGGGCCGGAATAAGCAATTCTGATAAGTCCGATTGATGCTCAGGGTCCTTGGGAGGTCGAGGAGCCTGGGGCCCAATATCATCTGTCCAGTGATGGAAGCCAGATGCTGTGGAGGAGACAGAGCCAGAGGGAAATCAAGGTCAGCAGAAGGGCCAGGCACCCAGATCCCTCCCCCACCGCTGGGCAACAGGCAGAGGAAATGCCCTCGGCCCCGCCTGGACCTGCTGTATCTCCATTGCTTCCTTCAGGTCTGCATTCTGAGGAGAACCCTCAGCCAGCGCTAAGCACCTCCTGCAAGCATCCCGGCTGTGCCCGG